CCCGTGGCTCCCGTCCCCACGCGTGAGCGTCCCCCGGCGGTGCCCTCCTGTGCCACGCCGCGCTGTGTCCTGCCCGACGCTGTGGGCTTCCCCCAGCAGTGCCCTCCTCCCGCCATTTAGCGCTCCGCACTGTGCCTGCCCGGCACAGCCCACGTCCGTCACCGTGACCTTGCCCTCCCACCCTGTGCGTGCTTGTTTGTCTTTCCAGCCCAGCTCATCGCCGGCCCGTCACCGGGTGTTGACTCTGTTCATTCCTCCCCAGCCAGGCCGGTCACTGCCAGTCATTGCCTGGGGCTGGCATGCTGCCGTCCCCCCTTCGGGGCTGCTGCGCTGGGCTTCGGCTACTGATAACTTTGGGGACTTACCGTGAGGAACTGGGAGAGGTGACCCTGGGTGACTGGCACCGCTCGGGGACGGGGGGGTGTGGATTAATGTTGACCCCGGCTTGGGCTGGGGATAAAAGCATCAAGGTCTGCCCAGGTCTCAGTCTGTCTTGGCTCCCCCCAGGCAGCTCTGGGACCTTTTCTGCACTGGCCAGCATCATGGCACCGGGGTGGTCCTGCTGGGTCCTCCTGCTGCTTCTGCCCAGCCTGGCCCGTGCTGGGGGGCCCGGCCCCGTCCTCGTCAACCGCCCCTTCGTCACTGTCTGGAACATCCCCACTGAGCGCTGCGCCAAGAGGTACAATGTCACCCTCAACCTGGAGATCTTTGATGTGTTGGCCAACAACCAGCAGTCCTTTATTGGGCAGGACATCACGCTCTTCTACAGCGAGAAGCTGGGGCTCCTCCCCTACTACACATCTGAGGGGCTGCCAGTGAACGGGGGGCTCCCCCAAAATGCCAGCCTGCAGGCCCACGTCCAGCAGGCCACCCAGGACATCAAGGTCACCCTGCCCAGCCCTGCCTATGGCGGGCTGGCTGTCATTGACTGGGAGAAGTGGCGCCCGCTGTGGATCCGCAACTGGGCCTCCATGGACATCTACAGGCAGAAGTCGGAGGAGCTGGTGCGGCAGCAGCACCCACAGTGGCCCCCTGAGCGGGTGATCCAGACGGCCAAGCAGCAGTTTGAGCAGAGCGCCCGCAACTTCATGGAGCAGACCCTGCAGCTGGGTGAGACCCTCCGTCCCGACGGCTACTGGGGTTTCTATGGCTTCCCCAACTGCTACAACAACAACTTTAACAGCCTGCCCTACACTGGGAAGTGCCCGGAGGTGGAGCAGCAGAGGAACAAGGAGCTGTGGTGGCTCTGGGAGAGCAGCCGGGCTCTCTACCCCAGCATCTACCTGCCTCCCTCCTTCAACGGCACCAACAAGGCACTTGCCTATGTCCGACACCGCGTGGCTGAGGCTTTTGCTGTCCAGCGCGGTGTCCTCAGCAGCGGCATCCCCGTCCTGCCCTACTCCCAGATCGCCTTTGACTGCACCGTTGATTTCCTCTCCCAGGTGATAGGGATGTGGGGGACTGTGGGCAATTGTTGGGCTGATGGGTTGGCACTGGGGAGTCTTCAGCTCTGCCGGGGCATTGTGAGGGCTTTGAGCACTCTTGACTTCTCTCCCCTTGGGTGCAGGAGGACCTGATGAACACCATTGGAGAGAGCGCGGCTCAGGGTGCCGCCGGCATCATCCTCTGGGGCAGCCTCAACTACAGCAGTTCCAAGGTGAGTGCAGCTGGTGGCACCATGCCACTGCCCACGGGGATGCCCCGTTTCCTGGCTGCGCAGGGCTGTGACACCGTGTGCCATTGCAGGAGATGTGCCTGAGGCTGAAGGACTACGTGGAGGGGCCCCTGGGCCACTACATCGTCAACGTGACGGCCAGCGCCGATCTGTGCAGCCAGAGCCTGTGCTCTGGCCACGGCCGCTGCGTGCGCCAGGAGAACAAGCAGGGCTTCCTCCACCTCGACCCCTTCCGCTTCGCCATCGACCTGCAAGCTGGCAAACCCTGGCTGGTGGCCCAGAGCCTGGAGTCCAGTGACGACATCACCCGGCTGGCCAAGGAGTTCAGATGCCAGTGCTATGACAAGTGGCAGGGACCCCACTGCGACACCCAGGGCTTCACTGAGTGACTCTCCCCCCCCGCCACGCTAGGGACACCGGGGTGGGCAGGGTGACACTGCCCTGTGCCCCAGTACCCTGGCTGGGGGGTTGGGAACCCAATCACAGGGCTGCTAATAAAACCGGTAGGAACCCACAAGCGTCTCCTTGTCTTTCACCACAGGGGTGGGAGGGGCCCCCCCGTGGCACTGGAGGTGCCTTTGGATGCTGCCAAGGGCTGTGCATCGGGCCAGAGGGTCGGGGAGTGTTACACCTCAGAGAAGCCAGAGAAAAGGAAAAATTTATGGGCAAGGACATAGGAAGGGGGGTAATGAGGGAAGAGGATGAGGAAAGGGGAAATGATGGCGAACAGCCAGAGAGTGGAGGTGATAGGGGTGAAAAGATGTGCCTGTGCGGCTGTAGCTGGGGGACTGCGGGAACCCCAGGCCCTCACTGGACACAGAGGGCTGCAGTGTGCAACCAGCACCCCACTTTGATTTTCTCCTGGATGACTACATGCAAACCAGTTCAGCCCTAGAATGAGATGAAATAGCACCAATTTCTGTAAGCCAGCTGCTGACTCAGCAATATCTATTTCGAAGCAATTGGGAGAAGGCATGAGATGATCCACTGCTTCCCAGGTCCAGCTTAGATGAAGATGTTAGCACATTCATCTGAATGTGCAAATTTGGGTGGGGGAATCCCATGCTCAGTTCTCTAATTTTAGGCCATAATTTGGGCAATGTCTCCATGATGGGACTGTGCTGTGTAGCACTGTGTGTTTACCGGGGACTTGGGAACTTTCACCCTTATTTCTTATGCTGGTTAATGTAAAATGCTGCAAAGTGTGGATCATCCCCCACAACATGTGTGACAGGCCAGCTCTCACCAAAAAATGAACCTCCTGCTCAGTGGAAAGGAAGGATGGCATGAAGCAGCATCTAGTTTAGATTCCTCGGTTAAATCTTCTTTGCTGAACTGGTCCTTGATAAATGCTGTTACCAGAGGTACGTCTTTCAGTCACTGGGCAATGGGCTGTCTCTTCCTGGTAAAGGCTGAGCCATGGCTCTATGGCCCAGCTGTGTCACCTAAAGAATTCCAGGACTTGTGAGTCCCTTATCTCGTGGCATGGCCTTGGGAGAATGCCTCTGCCAAAGAGAGGATATCTCATTCATAGCTGTCACGGGGAAGAGTATCCCAGGTGCATGCACCATGCCACACACATCCTGGCTTTTACTCTCTAGTGCTAAGAAATGAGGTTGGGATGTGATCAGGAATGGTTCAGCTGGTGGCAGATCAGTAGCTTCTGCTTGGTCTGTGGTGAATTAGGAACTCTCCCTGGGGCTGTGCTGCACAAACAGGACAGGGCAACTGGGAAAGGTTAATTGTTCCAAAGGTTTATTATCAACTCTACTAGGCTCATTTTCTTACTAACTGTATTAAACTTTATCTATTATCAACACTATTAACAAAATGCCCTGCTGCCAGCTGTCCATGCACTCTCTAGGATGTGTCATGCTGAGGCACAATGGCAGCAGGGCTGGGGCTGCAGGTGCAGGTGGGGCAGTGGGGGACTGCTGGGCTTTGGCTCTGGGGTGGCTTCTCCAGAGCTGCGGCTACTCCCAGCACGGGCACTGCAATCAGCGGAGGAGCGGGAGCAGCACCCTGGAGGCCACCCGGGGTTTGGCTGCTGGGTGACAGCAGGAGGAAGAGGCCCAGAGGGGTGAGCCCCACGCTGTTTGCTGCTCCGGCAGGCTCTGGAGGGGTGGGAGCAGCTGCCTCTGGAGATGGACGGGCACTGCCGAGGCTGGGAGGTGATTCAGCCCGTCGCTTGGTGGGTACGGTCAGCGCGGGTGGAGATGCTGGCATATCCCCTGCAGGCTGACCGTCTGGGCTGCTGGCCGGGTGATGTTCTTCCACCTCTGGTGCCTCCGGGGCTCTCCGTTTGCGGCCACCTCTCCTCTTGCGCTGTTCCAGCAGGCGGGGATGGTCTCTGTTAAAGATGGGATTATAGTAGTGGAGTATCTAAAAAAAGCAAAGGTGAAGAGTTAGTTGACACCATTGCAATACTGGAAAACCCCAAGCTACGAGAACTAAGACTCTGAGTGTCAAAAGACGAGCATAGGCATTGAAAAGGACTCTGAGGGGCATCTGAAACCTAAAGCTCAGGCTAAAATGTTACGTGATGGTTCTGTTCAGTCATCGCCACACTGGGATTTTGCTGCCTGGGAACAGAGCAGTGTAGGATTTTCAAAAGCAGAAGAACTGCTTTCAAAAGCCCAATACCATGACTTTGCAGCAGCTTCTGTGTGGATATGAGCAGGCGGGCAATACTATGGTCCTTAGATGTATCTTCTCGGCATTCAGCAGCTGCCCCAGGAAGGTTTCAGATTTGGTACAGCAAGACACGCAGCAAAGACACTGAGAGAAATCAGGTTGTGCTGAGTCTGTCTTTCCATTTAACTGGTTCAGACTCAGTGGATACAACCAAGCCGTACTTTAGCTGCATTCCTACTAGTCAGAAAGACCGACTCAAACCTTCCTGAAAATGGCCTGAGGAGGAAATTAAAACCAGGCCGCGTGCTGCCGTCCCCACCTCCTCTATTGCAAGGCCTTATTTGATGCATAGGTCCGTCTCTCCCCCAAGACTATTGTGAGCACTAGCTGATGTGCAGAGCAACTGCTGTACCTTGCTGTGAGCAGAAGCCGCTGCTTCTTCTGCCAGGAACTCGGGCAGGGAGGCAGATCTTTGGTGATCCCGCGGCATTTTGGTGAATCCGCAATAGTTCAGCTGCCGCAGGAAACTCTTCATCTTCTGCATGCCAAAAACACGTTGAGGTCCTGCCCTGCCCAGCACCTCCTCTTTGAAGAGCTCTTCGTTGATGGCCACACATTTTCTGCTCTCACTCCACCACATGGACTGAAACTGGTCACTTTCCATTATTTTCCACAGCTTCTCTGGAAAGCAGAGGGATGAGAATTCGCTTTCCATTTTTCTGTCCCAGCTGGACCGAAGCTTCTGTCTCTGGCCCTCGCCTTGGAGAGCCGGGTCTTGTCCTGCCAGTCAGCAAGCCCAGGCCAACTGGTGCCCGCTGACTGTGGGTACGAGTGGGGTATCCTGGCACGTCACTGTGATGCCCGTGGTGCGGAGCAGTGACATCACAGCGTGACACCACGGTGATGGTTGCCATGGTGCCCTGGCCAGAGCGGCCCAAGGAGAAACTGCTGAAGAGCACTTGTTGCTTTGCACTCCCAGAGCTACCAGGCCTTGTGGCTGAATGCCCACTGTAAGGAAACATCATCCAAGCTCTTAAAGCTGCCAACATTTTACGTTCACCTAAACGCAAAGAGCAGCAAGTGTGTAGGAAAAAGCCTCTGCCAGCCACAGGAGGCAGTAGGCTAAGACACAGGGAAAGCCTTGGGGAAAAGGAGGAGGATTCCTCTGATCCTCTGCTTTTTTCTAGTGGCATTGCAATACAGAGCCAGAGCAGGATGAAAGCTCTTTCTGAAGAGCAAAAAGAAAGAAGGAAGGGAAACTGCATGGCAGGGACTTGCTATTTCTCCTCCCTCCTGGGGACACAGTGCCTCCCTTTCCAGTGGGCTAGTCCAGGTCAGAAGCATTAAGTGTAACAGATAGGAGAGCTTGTATATGTGACACACTTGTATCACTTTTGGCAACAAAACCCTATGACCATGAAAATGTTTCCAAACATCCATTTTCAAGATGGTCTCTCCAGGGAACTATGTCTTTCAAAAAGGTAGTTACTAACACCAAGGTCCTGGCTAGAATAGCTTGGCGTTGTGAGCATCCCCAGCACTCGTACAGACCCCAACACTAATCAGCAACTGATTTCTGAAGAATTACCACAGCTGAGATGTGTTGATTTCTTTTATTACATTGAATAAGGATCTGAGAAGGTACCCATGGAGACAAGATTAGATCTTTGGATTTCCCCATCACGGCTTTCAGAAACATGTACTGGGTTATTACCAAGCTCTTTGCCATGCTGGTGGCCCCTGAAAAAATCAGTCATAATTGGATTTTGGCCCAGAATGACTTGTTTAATTTAATTCTTACAGAGATAGCTTGGTAAATGTTGGAAACAATATTATCTTAGTATTTTTTTGTATGTGGAATGTGGTTTAACTTAATGACTGCTCAAACGCACTCCTCCCAAGCTACAGAGAATCTGATATTTGCTATGAATAAAATGCTGGAATTGAAAGCAAAGTTCACCCTGTTATTCACACAAAGAAAATTACTATGAATTTCAAGTCTTCGTTGTGCCTGGAAGGTATCACAGCTGTGTGTCTGGAGCTTTTAGTCATTTAATATGCTTCAAGTTAGTAGCTGGTGTGGGGTTCTGCTGGACATAGAAACATGTTATCTCAATCCATTAACTGAACTAAGCGTTGAAATGGGCATCAGGAAAGAGAGGCTTCCTCTGGATTTGCAGAAGGGTCTAACACTATCAGACGGCTGCATAAGCACTGCAAGAAACCCTGCCTCTAGGTGCTGGCTTCTGGATTGTCTTAAATAAAAGTGAGGCTGGAAACTTGGACCAGCTCCTTTCTCTTGTTGTTGAAATAATGCAAGCTTGGGCATGAACACAGTTTGTCACCTTCTAATAATACTTTTTAAAATGTGAGAGGATTTGTTTTATTCATCCTGTTGTAGCTACTCCTCAGTCCTTGCCTCTTACAGTGTATGTAAAGACACCCAAGACACTGGATTTCATGTCATCTAGCTTGTTTTACTCCAGACTCCAAGGAACAGAGTCTAGAAAGACACTGCACATCGTGCCAACAGACAACTTCGAAGCACTGAACATCTGCTGGGTTGGTTTTTTTCAGATCTGAAAACCATGCTATGCCTTGTAAATGTATAGTGCTCTGCAAATCCATCTGCAGCGCTGCAGTAAGCCCAGGCTCGGCGGGAGCATGCTGGAGGGGAGCCAAAGCAAGAGGTGCCAGCAGCAATCTGACAGCGGCCCCAGGCCTTTGTGTGGTTCACATTTCGGGCCGCTCCATGCCTCCTGGGTGGAGTATGCTTATGGTGCCGTCACGCCAGCTCCTGTTTCCTGTGCTCAGGATGACTGAGAAATCTGCTGTGCTCAGAGCTTGCTTGTCCACTGCATTACAGGGTTCACACAACATTGATTTCAAAGCTTTTACCACATGCTGCTTCAAGAAATAAGGGTAGTCTGTCACTTAAAACTGTCCTTACATTGCCTAGTCTTTCATTCTGACAACTGTGGAGTTTTTGTCTGGTAGTTTAAACCACATTATCTTCAAACCCAGTTTATGATAAGTACTTACTATGATTAACTACCCCAAACAGAGGAAATTGAACTGCTGATTGCTCTGAAATTAGAAAGGTTATTTTACTATCTAGAATGAAGATGTTAATAATGAGAAACCTTTAAATGCTTCAATATGACCAGCTCATAAAGTAGTTTAGCTGAATGGCAAGGTGGAGATTAAGTCTTGCATAAAACAGAGGCAAGAAAGCCCTCCCAAACAATCCACCGGCTTTTCAGATACAAGTTGGAAGTTAGAGGCTTGTTAATTAGCTAATAAGTTCTTGTCTGCCTTGTTCCCTGACTAAAAAGGTCAAAATCAGTAAAAACGGAGACATTTCCCACATTGTTCAAAGTTGGTTTAGTCAGACAGTAAGATATTTTTTCCAATTTTGTCTTTGCATTAACAGCTCATGCCTGTGGTTAGATGACCAAGAGGGTGACTGTATTTTGAGACCTCAGGAGTTGTTTTAGGACCCTGCTAGCTATCATTTGCCATTGCATTTTACTCCATCCAAAGCTTTGGACAGAAGTCAGACAACCAAAATCAGAAGAATGGGAACGAGGTTCTTCCAGACGGTCTCTCCTGCAGCCCTTGCAGTTGGGTGCTGAGCTTTTCCTGTGGCCTTTGGGCTTGATGTACGAGTACAAAGCTCTTCTGGAAGAAATAAATCCTTCCCAAAAGCAGGTCACAGTAACTGTACAGCTTGAAATTAAGTAAATGACATGTGAGTTTTTAAAATGCCTTGTATTCCGTTTATATTGCAGCGGAGGCTTGTGGCACTCGAGTGCCAATCACTAAGAGCTCAGGTTGATTCACACATGTGCAAGCGTGCTGCAGCTAAAGGAAGACAGAGGAGTGCTGGGTGCTCTGCTTTTGGAGGAGGTGCTGATAATCAGTGCCAGCTTGGTGGTGTTAGGAGCGTCAGAACAGAGACGTGCTTTTGGCGGAGGTTTCTGGACTAGCGAGAACACGCTACCTGCACGTATATTAGCACAGCCCTGGGGATAAGAAGTAAAAAAATGTATTCCTATGACTGATCCCATGTCAGGCTACATGAAACGACTGCAAAACTCCCTTGGTGTGTGTGAGACCAACCTTAATCCAACACAAGTTCAGTACAAGACAGAACAGTCAGAGGGGAGGCAGGACTCCACCAGTGACAGCAGAGATGGCTGCTCGGGTTGGCACTGAATCACGGGGGTGTGTGAGTCTGGGAATAGACCTTGGCTGCTCTGTTTAGCTGCAGTTACAGAAAGCCCACCTACCTACCAATTAAGCACCGCTCCGCTGTATCCAAAGTTCACCGGTGAGCAGCTCACCCAACCACAGCAGCTCAGAGGGCTCAGGGAGAGGTATCTCAGAGAAACTTGAGACCAGGAGGCGGCAGCACAAAAACTGCCTCCAAGGACACTTGAATGTGTGAGCAGCTCGACGTGCTACCCAGAGCAAGAGATTTCACTAGCTTTGAATAAAACATACCCTTGATTCTATTAGCATATATGGGGATGTGCTCAAGGCTTCATTACTTTCCTGTTGACTAAATAAAACTTGCAACTTTTTCACATGCAATGTTGAAGCTCACTTCCGATTACTATTTCAAAAGTGTAATACAAACCCCTATAGAAATAATCTCTAGAAACTTGACTCTAAGACCCTGTACCCAAAACCCAGCTCAGTCTGTCATCTTTTGCTCACTCAGAGCAGTATCGACTTGAACGCAAGATCTCACTACTAGTTACCTAAAATGAAAGTGGCTCTTCCTCGTTGTCTCTTTGTATTTGGGTTTTGTGTTTGAAAATAACCCATTTCTTACCTTTTCTCTTGCTCAGGTATTTCTAGGAAAGATCTGAAAAGATCTAAAAAAAAAAAAAAAAAAAAAAAATCTAAGAAAGATCTGAAATGGTCTTCAGGGGCCACAGACTCTGCTGTTGCCCTGGAATTGACATACCTTGTTTCAGAGAACTAGCAGGGATATCAGCCATCATTCCTCTGATTCAACAGATTGCAATTTCAGAAGTTACTTGAAAAAAATGTAAACCCTGAAGCACAGTTTGTGGGCTCTCAGCAAGTATTTAAACATTCAGCACAAACAGCAGACCCTGCTTCAGGTTATATAAACAAAAACGCCTCTGCACTTGGAAGCTTGTCCTACTTTGTTCCATAATTTTTTAAATCTGCCAGCAATGGGGCTGGGCACCAGAACAGGACTTTCACCACAAAAATGTGGGTGCAGGAACAGCTCCTTTCTTGCAAATGTTTCAAGTCTTACACAGGCAGTGCTGGTTTGTGGGTTGCAGGAACTTCCACATTTTCTGTCAGGGAAGCGCGTGGTTTGTGTTCTTCACTGCAGTCAGGACCATCAGAGGCAGAACACTCGTGCTATTTGCAGCATTTCTGCTGCTCTGATTTGGCAGTGACTCCTCTCCTAGTTATTTTCCACCCTGGAATTTTAAAAACGGGCTAATCAGTGTCCTGCGTTGGCATTAGTAAGTCAGCAGGCGTGTTATCAACAGCCCGAGGAGGGTCAGAATAAGGATTTGTGAACTGACTTGAATGAAGCCGTTTGCTTGCGCTGTGTAAAACACCTTGCAAACTAATCCTCCTCCAATGACATGTTAAACATAAAACCATACTGTGCTCCAAACACTGCTCTAACCTGCTGCTGCAGACTTAAAGCAAACATTGAATATTATAGCAAAACATCATGCATGAACTTTCCAACATTTGATGGTAACTCTTTTCAGGAGGAAAAATCTGATTTGACAGATTACTGGTCATAATTCCCAATTAAGACATAAATAGCTGTAATCCTCTGTGCTGTTAGGCAGAGTTCAGGGTTAGTTTCAGCAAAAACAAACCAAGCTGGAATTGAAGCAGGGGAAAAATATACCC